GTGGGCAATAATTTTTGACAGAGGCGCCACCCAAGATTTTGGAAAGTGGTTGAAGGCTGCATTCTTCCATGATATGAATCTAGGAGGTGCAAGGTCCGGGATGGAGGTTGGGTGCGATAGAGAGCTTGGGGTAAGGAATTGGGGTGCAGGAAGGAGACTGGAGTCTGGAATGGAGTTGGGATGAAGCAGGTGGTTGTGACCTAAGGCAGGGGACTGGAGTGCAGGGGTTTGGGATGTGACCTTGGGTAGAAGGGGACTGTGATCTGGGGCAGGAGACTGGGGAGCCATATCTGGGGGGACGTATCAGTGTAAGAGGGGGACAGAGGGTTTGGGTCTGTTGAGTGGGGTGGGGCAGAGAGTTGGTGCAGGAAAGGGCTGGGGTGCTAGAAGCAAACTGTGGCCAAGAGACTTACTTGTCAGCTACCAAGCTAGCCTGCCTGCCTGCAGAGCTTAAAATGTTTTCCAGCCAGCCAGCCTGGCCATGTGCTTCATGAATAACTGAGCCCAGGAGAGGGCGCGTGGTTATTCTTAGCTGCCTTTTACTCCAACAAGCAGCTCGCATTGGCAGGTTTCTGCCAGAAACCGGCCAATGGGAATGTGCTGGGGGCAGGGCGACTCCTAAAACTTCCCCCCCCCCCCCCCCCCTTCTCTGCTTTTAACTCAGAAATAGAGCCCTGTAGCCGTGTTTCTGCCCAGGGCTGTGGGGTAAGTTGGGAAGTCTGCCTGGGGCTCCCCACTGCTTCTGCTGGCCAGATCTGGAGGCTTGGTGGGCTGGATTTGGCCCACAGGCTATATTTTGCCCAGGCCTGAGCTAGACCTTTACACGGATACACTCTATTTTAACATGTTAGGTTGATGAGAGAGAACACAAATATGTCGTCTTGAGATGGGGATCATACACCCCAGATATTTGTTAAATGTGATCTCGGTGGGAGCCGAGCAAATTCAGCATGCAGATCTGTGTCAGTGCCAACTGCTGGGCTCTTAAAAGTTTCCCATATTTGTAACAGAGTGTCTAGTGTGATTAAAGTAAAATGGAGAGATGTAGGATTTAAAACCACAAAAAGAGGGACTGTAGGGACAGCAGCAGTCTTGCAGGCACATAAGGAAAATTTCCATGAACATTTAGATAAAAAAGCTGCAAAAAGTAATCAAAAACATCAAAATGTTTGCAGGATTATTTTCTATATCAGTTTCTAAAAAATCACAGTGGGACAGCTTTAAAATCTATTGGAAGTTTTTTCTTGGTAAGCTTTAGGTAGTCAAGATCCATCAATTACCAGTATTGGGACATGAAGTTAAGCAACAAGTATGGCCTTGACTAAATTCTAGCTGGTCCAATGTGGTTGTGGTTGGACTTCAGAGGCAACAGAAGAAAAAATTGCCCTTTAAATCCTGGAAACTTGCTGCTAGAAGCCTCAGTGAAGATAAATAGATGTGTCCATGCTCAGCCTTTATCTAGACATACCAGAAGGTGAGAGAAGATGTACAGAAATCAGGGGAAAGGCAGCACAGAAAAGGAAAACACTTGATAGAATACTGAGCAGAAAAGAGAAAAAATACAAGAGTCTAGATAAAGTAAGTATGGAGAAAGGAAGAAATTAAAAACTAAGGAGAGTTCAAGATAGAGCAAAACAGAAAAGATGGAGACACAAACAGCATGAACTGTGAGTGGGGTAGCTGTGTTAGTCTGTAACTTTAAAAATGAGTAGTCCTGTAACACCTTAGAAACTAACAAAAGCTCATGATACTATATATATTTTTGTTAGTTTCTAAGCTGCCACAGGACTGCTTGTTGTTTTTAAAGCATTAACTATGGAATGAATGAGGGCGAAGCCAACAGAAGATATCATCTTAATCTAAAGATAGAAAAAAATTGAAATAACAAAATTGATAATAAGGAGTTTCAAAAGGAAAAAGATAGTGTCATAGTTGAGCAAATGTCCCTATCTTCTGCAATTTCTTGGAAAAGGATTGAGTGCTTTCTGGTGATTTTTGGAAAATAGAATATTTAGAAACTATTCTGTTTATATATCTTAGATTTTATGAACTTTTCTTCTGCTAAGGATATTTGTATTCAACAGGAATGAGTTCCTCTGGTCTAGCTGCATATTCCCTGTACAAAGTATTAATCCTTTGTTTGTCACATCAAAATAATTTCCAAATAAACTAGCAAGTGTGGTTCCAAAACCAGAACTTTATGACTTCAGGTGAGGACTAAGATATATTATATAATTATTAAGCACTAAGAAAACTGTATTCTTACTGGTGTCCAGAATGAAAGACAAGCCAGCAAAAGATGAAAAAGTATAGCCAAAGCTAATTCTCTATACAGTGTCTTCTAAACGTCTGCAGGAATTATTTACGCCAGTGCTACAGACCATAACTAGCTTTACTTTTTTGTAGATCTTCAGCCTGCAGGTAAGTCCTAATAGTTCAAAATTAGTCTGATTTTTCACATCTGCAGACTTGCAGTTTGATAACTTTGAAGGTGAGTTTATATCTTCACACTCTGCCAGAAAACTCTGAATATTTACCTGCCACTTCTCTGAGTATACCTGTGACCAAATGGTTTTGTTCCTCTAGAGTCCTGAAGAGGTGGACTCCTTCAGAAGTGTGTCATCTTTCTCCATACTCTTGAAAATGTTCTGGTTTATTCTGTCTTCTTGCAAGAGAGAAATTTTGTTAATTCCAGTCCTTGCTCTGGCTTTATCTGTTAAGGCAGCAGTGTATGAACCCTTTCAAGGCATGCTGCAGGGCACCACAGCCCAAACCAAGAGCCTGACCTCCAGCGCCTGAAGTCAGGACTGAAGTCAGGAGCCAGGAATGTTGTTGTCCCAGGTGCTCCCCATGGGGCTGATGCTCAGATCTCTAGCACACCCTGTGGTACTGAAGCCTAGACCAGTGGGGCTGAATCCCAAAACCCTGAGTCCATAGGCAGAGTTGGAGGAGTATGGAGGATATGCCCCCCACAACTGCAATAAAAGAACAGGGCAGTCCCAGGTGCCACCACACGCACACCCTAGCATCTTCTCTTCCCCGTCCCTTGGCCAGGTCAGAGGTGGGAATCTGGAGCCAGGGAGTGCAAGGAAGCTGCTGCTGGTGACATGGAGCAGGCAGTTGCAGCATTCCCTTCTCTCCTGTTGCTGCTGGTGCCCTGAGCTTGAAGTGTCTTCATAGCTCCCAGACCCTTTGCATTTTCAGAGGTAGTTGGTAAGGACCACCTGAGTGATAGGACCTGGCTCTATGGCTGGCTGACACTTTCAAGAAAAGGGACTGCAGGGGAATCCTCCCAGCACACAACCCGTAGCACTTCTTTCCATATATCTGAGCTACCCTTTCCCTGCATTTAGAGCTACCCCCTGTCCACACATAGCTGCTAATTACCCCCTTTTGGACCCTGAGATGTTTTGAAACTTTTTGTGCCCCCCACATCTGAGCAGGCTGGGTGGCCTTCTAAGATCAGTCAGGGGTCTGAAAAGCTGGCTCTCTCTACCTGGACCTCACCAAGTGGAACTGGCTTGAGCCCCCCTGTTTCCCCAAATAGAAGTCAAACTATGCCCAAGATCTCTGTCCAAATTCACCTCCTCCCCTTGGAGTTTTTCAAGCATGTTGGGGACCTCAGAAAAAAAAAGTTTGAGAACCCTTGTGTTACAACACTACATCTCTTCTTCCTTTGGTCCTTTGCCTGCTCCCACTGCACTGAGCATATGTCTATGCTGTGACTGGGAGGTGTGATTGCATTATGTGTAGGCATACACAAGTAGTTTTGATCAAAACTAGTTTGAATAATAATACCAGTAAAGCCACGATAGTGAGAGTGGCTGTACAGGCTAGCCCTAGCTGCCCAGAATCTTGGTAACATACTTGAGAACACTCATAGAATTGTAGGACTGAAAATGACCATTGGAAGACACCTAGTCCAGTCCCCTGAAGGCATGGCAGGACTAAATATTAGCCACAGCCCCCACCATTTCATAATTATTGATGTATAAACTAGTTTGATCTAGCCTTATCAAAGATATCTCAGATATGTCTACATGTGGTGCAATCTCACTTCCTGATTGCAGTGTAGACATACCTCCAGCCAGCACTTCACACTCAGTGCAACATTTGACAGGAAAAACTGATGTTTATGGTTTCATATTGGGACAACAATGACTATGAAGATCAGTGGCAAAGTCAGGACCACAATTAGGACAAATTTGAGCTACCTGCAAAATTTAAAATACTACTAATAAACATTAAATACCCATAAATCCCCTTTTCTTTAAGATGGGAAACTTTGACAACCTGAAATTACCATTGTGTGATTTAGCAAGAGAATATAAAAACCGCTCAGTACTACAGGCAAATAATAAAACAAGAGACTGGCTCAGAATGGGTGCTGCAAAATAAATGATAGGGGATTTGTTTTCACTCTACTAAACCTCTCATGATACTATGCTACATACATGCAATTGTGGTTTCCAAGATTCTAGATCACTTAAAAACTTAATTCCACCCTCAGAAATCCTGTGCTCCCATGTGGGTTGTTTGGTTTTTTTGTTTAAAAAAAAAAAAAAATCAGCATTACTAAATGATTTGAAAATGGCTGCACAACTGTCTTCACATATTTTTATTTTGCTACTAGGCTGTATTTTCTGTTATGCATTTAAAAGAATGAGGCTTTCCCTTCTGTATGCAAGGATTGTAAAACAGAAGATCAATAAAAGATTTTTTGCATGTTACAATAACAGGAGTTAAAAAAACAATTCTGTGTGGCAAAAAAAGTAGGAGTGATTTTTAATGTAGTTATCTGAGACTTCCATTTTTATTGTCAATAGCAGTTAAACAATATTAATAGTTACATATTATCTTAATATAAAATGATTGCTAATGCTAGCACTGTGGCAATTGTCTCAATTTCAAATTCCAATTTGTCCATATGTTCAAGTCTTTGAAAAACAGTATATTTGATCATTTATTTTTTAATAATTTTTTGCATTTCTTGTCTACAGAATATTGTTTAAGGACAAAGATCGGAATTGGGAAGAAATTGAGAACAAATTACGAACTGAAAGTGAAGTTCCTATTGTAAAAACTTCAAGCATGGTATGAAGAAGTATCTTCTTGTGTTAGAATGAGATTGTGTCAAAACAAACACAGAAATCCTTAAAATCCCTTTAATTTGAGCAAAGAATAATTTAATATCCCTTAGAGTTTAAAATCTGGATTATGTTTAAAGCGGAATTCTCACTGGATAAATTTCATGTGGCTGAGGAAGATTTAAATACTGGCTCCTATTGTTTAGAAAAATAGTTATGCTTTCATTTAGGTAAATGAAAATTGTCAGTAAATATTGCAGGAAGAGCTTTCTTCAAAATTAAGAACATTAGTTTTCTTACACATTATGAATGGTGTAAGTAAGAATTTGTGATTCCTTCTTATTTAGGACCAGAGGGTGGCCTGTCTTGAGCACCAGTGCAAGGGAGTGCGGCATGTGAGTCACCCCCTTACTCCATTGCACTGTATCACGGCTTCCACTACATCACCTCCTCATGCCCAAAGAAATGGGAAGTGTAGTCACGCCAGTGCATTAGGAGTGTCCATATCCATCAAAAGCGGCGAGGAGTCCTGTGGCACCTTATAGACCAACTGAAGTGTAGGAGCATAAGCTTTCGTGGGCAAGTGGGTCTTTGCCCACGAAAGCTTATGCTCCTACACTTCAATTAGTCTATAAGGTGCCACAGGACACCTCGCCGCTTTTGCAGATTCAGACTAACACGGCTACCCCTCTAATACATATCCATCAAGTCTACTTCCTTCCTAGAGCAGCGGGGAGACCAGAAAGAAGACTGAATTTACTAATCAGATTCTCACAGCACAATAGTGCACTGTTCCTTATAGTGGCCAAAATCTTGAGATGATTAACCTAAATTTTTCAGTCTCGTTAGTGACTAGATATTAGCACTTGATTGCATTTAATACAGGCTAGGGATGTTGGCAACTAGTCAACAAGCAAATGCTTATCGGACAGTTGAGTAGTGACTCGACTAGTCGCTCCCCCCTATGTCAGAAAGAGGCAACAAGGGTGGGGGGAGCAGGAGCAGGAGCCGGTGCTGAGGGAACCAGCTTCAAGCCAGTTCTCCCAGCATTGTCTTTGTGCGGGACAGGGTAGGCAGAAGCACAACAGAGAAACAGTACAAGCAGGGACTGCTTCAGTCCTCACTCCCACCTTTCTCTCTGCAGGCGCTTCTGCTTTTGAAATGTACAAGAGCTCTTGTACGTTTCAAAAGCAGAAGTGCCACAGGAAGCATGGGGTGACCAGGGAATCAAGCAGTTCTTGCTCTCTCTGTAACAACACTCCCCTCCCCTCCCTCTGAGAGGCAGCAAGTGGGGGGAACAAGAGCCGGTGCTGGGGAGGAGCTGGCTTAAAAGCTGGTTCCCCACTCCCCCCCCCCCCCCAGCACTGTCTCCAGGTGCTTCTATCAGAGGCAGTGGGGGGATAAGGGATGCTGCTGTGAAGTAGCCCCTGTTCACAGCGGCCAGGGCTGGCCACGGGCAGGGGCTGCTCAGGCACCAGCCCCTGTTTGCAGCGGACAGGGCTTTCTGCCGGGAAGAGAGGCTGCTGGACACAGTGTGAGCACTAGTGCTGATCACTGCACCTCTGCATTTTAAATCTAGTAAGAGCTCAGTGGCTCTTACTATATTTAAAATGCAGAGCCACAGCTCTGCACCACGACGCTTATCAACTAATCGTATAGTCGATATAAATTGTATCAACTATATGATTAGCCAGATAATCACATTTCAACATCCTTAATAAAGGCCGTCCTTGGTATAAGTCCAAGATATGTTCCAAAAAACTTGGACTTGCAGTGAAACAACTTGAAGCAGGAAGTTCTTTTCCTGCAGCTGACTTCTATTTATGCAAATTGGAATGTGTTTTTGCATGAGTTAAGAGCAAGGAATGAGAGGACTTAGAACACATCAGTTTCTACATGCGTCAACGACTTCCATGCGGAACAGATGTATACTGGGGCAGTTTATAGCATGGATGCCCTGTAATCTAAATCCAGCTTTATTTTTCTCTGAAACCACTGAACATTTGTTATTGATCCTGTAATTTCTATAGAACACTCATTTTTAAAAGGCAAATACACTTTACTGATTACGTGCTATGAATTTTTAGGTACATATATTGTTTTTTAATATAGCAAGTAATTCATAAAAACTGCTGACATAAGTTTATAATATTAGAAACATGGTAACACGAGGGGTATTCTCAGGTCTTTTTCAATTCAGATTTTTTTTTCCCAAGGAATCACATTTGCACCCTAAAATTTATTATATTGTTTAAGGATGCTCATAAAAGGCAGATTTTTTTTTAAGTTTTAGTTTTTGTGTTTGTTCTTAACTTGCTTGATTTTAATATCACTATTTTTTTTCTTATGGCAAAGTAGTAAACTCTGTTTCCCAAATGTGTTTTGATCCCATCTACTGAATTTCTAATTTCTATTTAATATGTGGTGTCAAATTTACTGTTCAGTATCTAGCACCAAATTGTAGAATTCTAGTATTTTTCTGGTTCTAGATCAAATGTTCTCAAATGTCCAAGTATTATCATGACTGTTGTCTATGGAACACCGAGGTCATGATCAAACATGGAATCTGCTTAAAGATACTGCCTAAATCTACCAAACCCAAGATAATTGGCTCAAGTCCTTCTTAGCCACCTTCAGGAATCTATATAACAGATTAATCAGTACAGAAGTCTTTCAGAAGGATTCTAGAAGTCAGTTGCAAATTTCTTAGCTTTAAAAGAAGTGCGTCTTTGCTCTTTTCCAAGCATTATGAATGTTAGTATTTTGCTGCTTCAGTTTATAGTTCTAACATGCCAAATTGATATTCCAGAGGCAGGGTAATAGATGCATCCAAACTGACCTTATTGCAGGTATTCCACAACAACACGACACAATATTAAATGAAATGACTTCATAGCTACAGTTTCATGTTTACATATCAGTGATATAACTACTGGTATATTTTAGTAACAGCACTTGCTATGCTGTGGGGTAACTGCGTGGTCATGCTCAAATTTGTCTAATTTTCTTGAGCTGTGCCTACACTGTATAGCTCAGACTTTCCAGGAATGGCTACTGTGTTAGTGGGGTGCTCTACTCCAATAAATTATATCAGAGCCACTGTAAAGCTAACCTCTGCCAGTGAGAATACCTCTTCTCCTGTGGTATAAGTTATCCTGATTCTCCCTGCATCAGGTTATGAGACATAAAGTATTTTCCCTATATCCTCTAACAATTAATCTATATGGTAATTTTCCTGCAAGACTGCCAGTTAGCTGCCTCAGGCTATGTCTACACTGCACAGTTATTTTGGAATAATCTATTCCTTAATAGTTATTCCAAAATAGCTTATTTCGAAATAGCTCGCCTACACTGTAGGGAAGCCTCAAAATTAGTCCGAGGCAGGCTTCCCTAATGTAGACGTGCTATCTCAATGTAGAGCCTCAGGAGGAATAACTTGGAATGGCTCTGGTGAGGGGCTATTTCAAAATAGCAGAAGTGGAGCGTCTACACAGCCCCTATTCTGAAATAACTATTTTGGAATAGGCATTATTCTTCGTAGAATGAGGTTTCAGAGGTCGGAATAAGCTGTCCGTTATTTTGAAATAACTTTGCTGTGTAGGCACACCCTCAGTGTTTTGGCAAAATGGGGGTTCAGTCTGGCTCAAAGGTGGGAATAGGTTTTGTGGGTCCATGAACAAAGGAATGGAATAAGCCTTTGTACCCCCATTTAAGGAAGCAGCTAGCCAATCAAAGGAATTATTTGGTTCTGATAGAGCAACCTGTTTTACATCCCACTGCAATGAGATACAACCCAAACAACTTATGAGAAGATTTCTTTTAAATGTTATTAAATCTGCTTTTTCTTAGTGAAAAGTAACACTGGTAGTTTGAATATTTGTTTCTTCCCCAGGAGATTTCATCAATCTTGCAGGAGCTGAAAAGAGTTGAAAAACAATTGCAAGGTATTTAATATTTTATGCAGCTTTGTGGCTTTATGTCTAAATGCATTGCAGAATCCCATAATAATAGTGCCCAAGGTAAGGTAATATGAACAGCCTTCAAAATGGCTTACATTGATTTATTTTGTTTTAATTTAAGATTTTGGATTAAACATTTATCGACTATCACTGTTTCCAAGAACTAAAATTGGAAGTTGGAGTACAAATCCCCAATTTCCTGACCTCCTTCATGCATAACTTTACATTGCTTTGTAACAGAAATCGTTCTTAAACACAAGATTAGACGTTTTCAATTAATACAATTTAAACTTATTCACTTCATACTAAATTTGAATGCTGTGAACTGAGATCAAGTACTCGTATGAAGGAAGCTATACAAATTTCTCCATTGGCCAGTTTCTTATTGTTCATAGCAGAAGTTTTAAACAATTTTTTCATATCCTTGTTCAAACCAGCATATTATTTTTGTTTGAAGTAGTTAGTATATCCATATAAGATAAAACAAGTATTGTTTTGACTTCCATAATGTGTATATAAAAGAAATAAACAAAAATGTTGTTTTAATAAAATATAATGCTAAATAATCAAACATTAATATGATATGAATGTTACAGTCTTGGTGAAGAAGCTTTACTAATTTATTTTAAATCTATGGGGGGGAATCATTATGCATTTTGTATATATTTTTGTTGCTTTAGTTTTTCTGTATGTTGTAGCTGTAATTTGCTATTTTATTTATATTCCAATTTGATTTAAACCCCTCTATTAATGTATGTTTTTTAAAAAAGAATTTCTAGAGAAAGATCTAGATCCCTTGGACAGCAAATTGAAGAAATCTGCTCAATGTACACATTCTCAGAAATGTTGATTTGATTCTAAGATATATTTGCATTAAAGGATGAAGAGTAATGAAGCATATTTTAATATTATTATATTTATATGTATTGATTGCTGTGCTTGGGTTAACTCACTTTACCTTAAAGGCTTAGAAATATGAGGCCTTGAGAAGGTTAACAAAATGTATTTTAACACACGTCTAATCAGTGATCAATACTGTGATTATTTAGGTGCTCTGATAATCTCATGAGTGCTTTATGGAAACTGATCAATTCTATTTGGGAAGCAGAAAAATGCTCAGTAAACATGTCAAATTAATTGTACAGTGAAGCTCTGTTAGGTACTTTAGTTTGCTCCACTTCCTAATGCTTTTATCTAAAGGGGATGAAAGAAATTACTGTTTTATGCAGCATTTAATCAGTTTATGAAATGTACTACTATAGGGATATTTCCAAAGGAAATATAGTATCTTAGTAACATTACAAATTAAAGACCCTTTCATGTGCCTATGAACCTCATCTTCCATTACAGTGTAAGGACTATTGGTGCTAATGCTGCCAGATACAAGTTGATCATCAGCTAGTCTCTTTTTTTCTAGCCTTTCCTCCAAACCATGTATTGCATATGTTTTATATAGTCCCTGGAGTATTGGGGTTTAGTGTATAAAAAGGTTTTTGCAAGTGGTAACACATCAAGTTACAGTCACTATCGTGCTCTTGTATTAGGGTAATTATTCTGTAATATCCCGCAGACAACAGGCCAGTTTTTCTGTCTGTATTCTGGCATTATAGAAGTAAACAATATATCTTTGCATTATTTCCATTCAGACTCTGAACAATTGAAATAGTATAGAGCTGGCTTATTGATATTAATTAGTTGTCTACATACTCTTAACCCAAGGAAGGCTATTAAAGATGTGTATGAACTGAAATGCTGAAAAATATGACCGAGACTGTTGAAGTATTGTTTTTTCTGAAAGCACAAAACCCTAATCTTTGTTCTGTTTGTTTCCCTCCCTTCACTCCTTGGTCATATAGTGATTAATGCTATGATTGACCCTGATGGTACTTTGGATGCTCTGAGCAACTTGGGATTCACAAGCCCTGTTTTACCAGCTCAACCTAAACAGAAGTCCAGTCCTGTTTCTCACAGTACCCACACTCAGATACAACCAAACTGTCAACCAGAAGCTCGGGCCCTTCGGCCTGCTGTCATCTCTGTTTCAACTGCATTTGACAATGTTGAATCCAAGCCTGATTTCAGCATACATTTCAACAGGTTCAATCCAGATGGAGAGGAGGAAGATCCAAGTGTGCGTGAATGACATTATTAATTGTCATAATTATCTTCAATATAGAATGTCTAGATAGAAATGAAGAATCATAATGTTGGTTTTATACAAAAAAAAAAGTCAAACTGCAATTGGTTTGTTAAACCAGGTTTTTTTTAACTGTGATGCTTTGATTGTAATGCACATCCTCTTCAAACCATACAGATGAGCATTGATACCAATGTAGAAAAGCAGGTTGTAGCAGGTTTGCCTTTTGTGCTTGTGTGCTTTGCAAACAGTTATATCAGCAATCTTTCCATTCATAAATGTTTATTTCTAAGAGCCATGCTATTAAAGTGACCTGCAAGCAGAAGCAGACTAACATCCAGTCTTACTGAAACCCAAAGTCTCCTGTGCCAAGCTAGTCTATAAATGGACCTCTTCAATTAAAGTTTGTATAGAATTATTGAACAATTTAATTCTGAGTAAGATGATTTATATGATACATTACCTTTGAGTACAATAACACATAATTATATAAGATAAGACAGACTTTGCAAAACATTAATTCCTGCGTGCTGAAATTTTCAAGCAGTTCTGTGATTTGTATAACCTCGTTCCTGCATAAATTGTCTTGGGGTTTACGAAGTTCAACTATTATGTTTGCACTAAGAATTTGCCGGGAGTGATAGGTGAACATATCAATATCGATAGGAGTCAGTCTTTTGATGTACATAGAAAATTGATTATACTGTACTTGTTTCAACACAGCAGTATTTTAATCCATTTTCTGAAAGGACAGTTTGGCACTTTTTGATCTTGTTCAAAATGTCTTTTTGATGTGAATGGAAGCAGAAGGATTTCATAACTCATTTCTGTCCAAAAGTTTGTTGAAACTATAAAACTAGTTTTCTCGTACAACTGTGGGACATTTAAAAGCATGTTGAAGCAAATGGGTTCTCATACTAAGTCACCAGTTCATATGCAACATAAGTTTACAAAAGCGATGTGGGTTCCTTGGAATGATCATGAGGTGTAAAATTTTCTTCCTAAGACTTGGAGATAGTAGTCATAATTTGGTTGATCAATAGTCTCACTCCCAAGCAACTGAATTGCTTCTGTATATTTTCCTGTAGAATCCTCGTAAGTCAGTTTCTCTGTCTTATACATTTAAAACGATGCTGAAAGAAGACTGCTAATGTAGATTTCTTGCTTATGCCACTGAAAAGCAAGTCTATTTAAAATATCCTACATAAACCTATTTTCTATATAAGTTTGTCCCAGTAGCGTAACATTTGGAAATAATAAAAAGAAAAGTGAATGACCATGTATTTCCAGAACACTAATTTGGAGGAATCTTATTTCTTCTGTTTAATGTAACTAATAGACTGGAATTTTCCTGTGTTTGCATCGGTCTCTGTATATTAATGTTGCACATACAGTTTTGCAGCTTTTATGAAATGGTCTTTAGTAGTTCAGCAATAATCCTATATGACATATGTTTAAAATACTTTCTGTACATTTTTAAATTGTACAGGATTTCAGAAGTTACTAAATAGTTGGACCAGTTAATAAAAATGCAAAAACTTTTTTGTAGTGATGTAAAAAAAACCCAATAATTTGTGGTACAATGGATTTCATATATGTTTAAAGTTTAAAAACATACAATATCCTTCTTGTACAACTCAATATTCTACTCCATTGGTTTACAGAGGCTATAGGAAATGTTTGAAATGGTGCAGAAGGGCAAAAATAAATTTAAAATAGTCAGGTGTTGAAAACTTAATGCACCATAACCACTATCACAATTCTGACTTTTGTTTAATCTTTGAGAACCGATTTTTTTTCCCCCCAGACACATGAAAAATAGGAAATGACTTAGGAAAGATTAAAAATTTAGGCTCTCCGCACAAGATTTTGTTTGTGTTCATTCAGGCGTTTACACTCTTTTGTTCTGTAATAAGTGTTTTGCATCTACTATGTTATTTTGTATGGACACATTCGCCTTATTTATTTTTGTTACATTTATTATGTATGTTATTTTGTTATATGCATTTACAGCTCCATTTTTAAATAAAGTGTTTCTGGAACTTTATATATGGTGTATGTGTGTTTATATATGTATGTGTGTATATAATTCAGTGGTTTAGAACTAGTAAGGTTCAGATGTGTCTACTTTGGTGGAACTTATGTTAAATTACTCAGTTAGGAAATGGCATTTTCCTAAATGTATTTCCAGATCATCTTTCAGGAAAGAAAGACTTTATATTGTTTCTTCTAGATCAGATACACTGCTCTGACAATAATACTTATTGTTCACTTTCCTGCATCCAGGCTCACCATTCCCTCACTGTTTTTACTTCTGTTTGTGCAGCTAGAAAGGCAAAAATCAGACCTCTCTATCATCAAATAGATTCCAACTTCAGAAATAAGAACAAATCAGTTTTGATCTACCTTGTGGCAGCAGAAACGGGTAGTTTCCAGACCTGTTTTCCGTGAGCTAAAGAAATCCTGTTTAAAGATTTTGATTTTATTCCAGTATGTTGGCTTTGTTTGGCTAGCAGGGAATTGGCCTGTGTTTTCTTCAGGAGTCATGTGCGTGTGCTCCACTGGGTACAGCAGCCTTATGTACAACTATTGCTCTAGAAATATCATCAGTCTACATATTCCAACACTGCGCTTCTGCCATCAGCCCCACCATTGGTACTGGCACCCTGGGCTTCAGCATTCAGTGATGCAGCACACACTAACTCTTCCAGATTAGCAAGCACAAAACTAGACAGAGGTACCAGAAGAAGCTTCACAACTCTCAACTTCAGTCCAGTTGAAGGACCCCAGGTTTAACTGACTCTGTAGATTCCAGTTAGGCAAGGCCTTAGCACTTAATACCCCACCAAGGACATCCCTTGTGCTCTTCGTGGATCTTGTGCTGATCTCCTCAGAATCTTGTGGAAGTCCCTACCTGAGCTGACACTCTTGTAAGGGTACCCACGCTAGTTGCCAACGCCTTCATCAGCTTGTATTCCTCACCATGCACATTTCTGTAAGTACTGAAACAATCCATGGGTGTCTTCAGAAGGTGATAGTTCATGATTGGTTCCCCCCCCTTCAGGTGTTCTATCCACTTCAGGAGGTGAGAACCCAGCCCATCTGTGAAGGAAGAGGAGGGTGTGCTGATGTCAGGGAGCCCCTCCCCCCACCCTCTACCCATTCTCCATAGAGCTGGGGGGAGCGGAGCAGGGATGGAGGGAATTTGCTGGCTGCTTGTGGAAGTAGGAGTAAGCCTGTCTTAGACCCCTGTACCACCACTCAGAAGCCACCTGTGGTAAGCAGTGCCCACCTGGAGCCTACATTCCAAACCCTGGCCCCAGTCCTGAATCTCTCCTGTATCCCAAACTCCTGCTCTAGCTCTGAGGAGTCCTGTACCCAAACTCCCTCCCAGAGCCTGGACCCTAGCTCCCCACCCCGCAACTATTAAACTACCTCCCACGCTCCAGATCTTTTAGCCCAAGATCACACTCCAGATCTTTTAGCCCAAGATCACCCTCTCCTCTGCCCCAGCCTGATAAAAGTGAGTGAGGAGGAGCGAGTGAGCAGAGGGAGGACGGAGTGAGCAGGGGTGGGACCTTGGAGAAAGGGTAGGAAGGAGGCAGGGTAAGGGTGTTTGGGTTTGAGGTAGATCCTGGATTGCACTTAAAATCAAAAAGTGATCTCATGTTTAAAAAGGTTGGAGACCACTGTTATAGACCAATTCCCATGCCCAGATCCATTTCTGAGGCCTTGTCTGCAAAGCAGAAATGAAACAAAAGAATAGTGGGCCTGGATACTCAAGCCCTGTGTATGGAGGCAACAGTAAAGAGAATGTCTTGAGGGCCATGCATATAGCCCCAATGCTGAAATATTGTTGAGCTAGAGGACTTCTTACTCCAACTCCTGTGATCCTCATTGTATGAGGAATAAGGAAAGTCGGAGGAAGAGTGCTCTTTCCCAGACTGCCTGATGTGTAGGCAGTGCCAAAAGTCAAAATAAGCTATTTTTACTTAAGCTACATAATCGATATAGCTCAAGTTGTGTAGCTTATCTCGGCTTTAGCCCTGCTGTGTAGGCATGCCCTCAGTAGCTAAGGTGGATATTTTGTGTTTATTTCTTTAACCGGTTTCCTGATACAGGTAGAACCTCTTTAATCCTGCACCCACGGTGCCAAAATAGAGAATTTGCCAAACTGGAGGAGGTCATTATTGCCTAGCAGCATTACTTCCACTGCTTACTAGGCTCTTAGAAGACCTTTAGGAGTAAAGCAGAACTAAATAACAGCACAGAATCCTGAGAGCCAGGAGAAGTGGCTGTAAGCGAAGTTTAGTGGGTGGCAGGAAACTTGTCCACACTCATAAGAGGTCATCGAGCTAACTAAAATCATGCCAGACCATGGATGTTGCTGAACTAGAGAGTGCCAGATTAGAGAGGTTTAACCTGTAGTAAAATTTCAGATTTTACATAGAATTTTTTCTAAGAAGTTTCACATTTAAAATGCTAATCTTTTCTGAAAAAGATGTGTCCAGTGCCTCATTAACATTTCTATTGTAAGAATAAAACAGGCTTAAACAGAAAATGCAGAAATAGTCTGTGCTAAATTTTTAATGAACACCAGCATCTGATATATCCAATGTGTCCAAATCAAGAAAGGTGAAAGTGATTGAACCAGGCTCTACTGCTCTGTCAAGGTTTGCAGTCTGAAGTCAATGGGACCTGCGCTCCAAAATTGCTCCAGTATTTTTGAAAATCCCATCCTGTGAAACAGATATTTAGGAACCTAACTGTAGTCTCCTGTTTTTAAGATTTTGCACCATTGATATGAAAAAGTACATGACAACTTTAATACATTGAAAGTCTAAATAACTTTCATTGTTAACACTGAAGCAGTTTTGTTTTGAAGGGAGATTGATTTTATGCCTTTTTAAGAAAAAAGGGGTTAGTAAAAATACTGTTCGCAACAAACACTTGGGCTACGGCTAGACTGGCATGATTTTCTGGAAATGCTTTTAACGGAAAAGTTTTCTGTTAAAAGCATTTTCGGAAAAGAGCGTCTAGAGTGGCACGGACGCTTTTCCACAAAAGCACTTTTTGCGGAAAAGCGTCCGTGCCAATCTAGAAACGCTTTTCCGCAAAAAAGCTCTGATCGCCATTTTTGCAATCGGGGCTTTTTTGTGGAAAACAAATCTGAGCTGTCTACACTGGCCCTTTTGCGCAAAAGTTTTGCGCAAAAGGGACTTTTGCCCGAACGGGAGCAGCATAGTATTTCCGCAAAAAGCACTGATTTCTTACTGTAGGAAGTCAGTGCTGTTGTGGAAATTCAAGTGGCCAGAGTAGACAGCTGGCAAGTTTTTCTGGAAAAGCGGCTGATTTTCCGGAAAAACTGTCCAGTCTAGACACAGCCTTGTGGCACATAGTTACCTTTAGAAACAAGTGATCATATTGATCAGTCGGGCTATTCAGATGAGTAAATTACATACCTGCTTAATTGTTTGCAACATCAAGTCCTTCCTTTTTGACATTTTGTTTTTCACTGTGGGAAGGAGTGATGTGATCGCTCCTCCTTCTCTGCCCAGTCCAATGCGCTGACCGCTTGCCATCGGGCGGTACGTAGTCGCTCCAGGTTTTATCAATGCCCAGGCAATATTAGATCGTTCCTTGTCATTTCGCTTACATGGTCAGACCTTGCTCAGGGCAGCCCACAAATGGCGGAGGGGGTAGGAAGGCCCGGACCCGCCCACTCTCACGGGCTCCAGCCCAGGGACCTATCCGACTGGTGGGGCTTCTGGCCGTAACTCACCAGCCCACGGGCCTCCTTCAAGGAAACCCCACCCTGGACTACTTCCTACCCCCTCTTTGGGGTGATAAAGGATAGTTCTCCTCCACCCTCTGTTTCTTCTATTCTTCTCCCCCGACTCTCCACCTTATATCTCTTCCGTGCCTCCCCCCACTCCCTCTGTCCCTCTGGCACTTTTGAATATGGCACCCGCCCACGCTGGCGCCCCTCCCCCGAGGGCATCTCCACAAGCGTCATCTCCCTCCCCCCCCCGGGCGCTTTCACAGACACGGCGCCCGTGGCGTGCCAGCGCTCGCGCTGGCCAGCGCACCCACG